TCTGCAAACCCCTTGCCTCAGGTGCGCTGGGGGGTGAGCTCCTTGGAGAGGGGGCTTCGGGCTGCCCTTGGGCTGGGTGCTGTGTTCTGGCTCGGGCGGGTGGAGGCTTAGGAGGCCGGAGGAGTAGGAACCCACCGACTGCCTCTCTGGGCCAGCCGCAGGGCTGACTGTGGGGAGGGAGCTGTGGCTTTCCTGCAGCCTGGTACGTTCAGGGCCCCTCCAGGCTGCCCGGGGAGCTCTGGCACCCACAGGTGAGGACCGGCTGAGTCCCTCCAGGAGGGCAGGGGGATTTTCTCTCCATGGGCCACGGGGGACGGGGCTGGGAGAAGAAATACACTTGCACCTTATGTCGTGTAAATACTGAGTTTCTAGTTCAAGAAGATAATCCTGGTTAGTGCGGGATTGGAGGTAGGAGCGAGGCGGACGTTGGAGCGCGCCAGTTGGCATCCACACCAACAGGATTCCTCTTTGTTTATCTTTGAGACAGTCCAACCTTGGGAATAGCTTTAAAAGGGAAATTAATGCTGAGACGGTAAAGTCCCCTGTGCAGCCCTGGATGGAGCGCAGGCTTCCGTGGCTGCGGACCTGGGACATTGCTCATGCAGTCATTCGTCCGTCCGTGGGTACAAGATTGGGTGGGAAGGTGCAGGAGGGTGTTTCTGGCTTCTCATGGCACATGGCTTTGCATGGTTCCAGGCTCTGAGCCACCTGCAGGAGTCCCTCGGCACAAACTTTTGTGCTGCCTTCGCATGTCCCCGCGTGTCAGCGTGGCTGGGCCGGGAGCCTCCAACCCCGTCACATCCCGTCCGTCGCCTGCAGGGAGCAAAGTGCCATACCAAAAGAGGACCGAACAGTTCCCATGTACGCTGACAGGTGCCTGTCCTTGAGAAGAGAAAAGCGTCTGTTTTGTTTTGAATCAGTTTTTAGTTTCTTACTGCCGGCCAAACTCCTATGTCCCCAGCAAATCCCCGGGCCACTGGTTGTTTCTCCATTATGTTCATTACCTTGTACCATGTACCTCAGATCTCTCTCTCTCAGTTATAGTTTTTCATCTTGGCCTTTTTTTTCTTTTTATTCTTTTTATTTATTTTAATTTTTTTTTTTTTGCTTTAAACGAGTGTGATACCATAGCAAGTCCATGTTAGCCTCTCACCATGTACTCTGTAAGAGGTGTGTGGCTGTTTATCTGGTTCCGGGATGCTAAGTAGTGTGCTGGATGTAAACGCAGGTTTTAGGAAGTGTGGCAGAATGTTGGCTGTGACAGTGACACGGTTGTAGGCAGCTGCCTCTGACGAGGCCTTCTCTGTTCAGTGTTAAGTGATTTAAAAAAAACTCCATACCTGTTCTGACTTGGTTTAAAGATGGAGTAGAAGGTGGATTTGAAAATGGTTTGGGATGCAATTAGGTTATGCGTATTTGGACAATAAACTCACCTTGACCATAAAAATAAAAAAAAAACACAATAGCAAAAAGAACTAGGAGTATAGACGGGGCATTCTGGGTTAGCATGTTAAGCCATGAGAGAGATAATCAATCATTCAATCTCTCTCTCTCTCTCTTCCTCTCTCTTCCTCTCTCTGTCTCTGTCACTCTGCCATTCAAATAAATAAGTCTTGCTTTAAAGTAAAGAAGGAAAGAATTATCAGCATAGATTTCTCACTGTATGGTCTTCAACGCAATCTATTTGTAGTCAAAGATGCTTTTTCTTTCAGATGCCAAATACTTCATGTTTGGAAGTGCTGAGTAATGTCATGTTATGCAGGCCACATGTCCAGTACCCAAAATGCTTGGGCCCAGAAGTGTTTTTGGATCTGAGACAATTTTAGATCTTGGAATGTTTGCATATACATAATGAGCTATCTTGGTGATGGGACCCAAGTCTAAACACAAAATTCATTTGTGTTTCATAGATACCTTATGCACAAAGCCTGAAGGTGATTTTATACAATATTTTTAGGTCACCTGCTTTCTACCTGTGACCCATCACAAGGTCACATGTGGAATTTTCCACTTGTGGGGTCATGTGGGCACTCAAAAGGTTTTGAATTTTGGAGCATTTCTACATTTATGCTTTCACGTTAGGGCTGCTCAGCCTGTCCTTGTGAATCCCAGTATCCCTGAAGCCCCACTGTCATCTCATTGCTTGGAAGATAGGCACTGAGCTTGACAAGCCAGAGTGTGGAGAGCCCGACTGGCAGACTCTGCTGCTTGGGGCAGCCTTGTGGGTGTCCGCCCAGCGGGTCCTAGGTGCACCTACTGGCTCAGTTCTCTAACACCTGACGCCCATCGCCATTGGGCCCCTAAGGATGGGGGAGCCCCCTCTTCCTCAGACACAGAATGGCGTATTCCATTCATCTTTTTCCTAATGGCCTGTGTGGTTGGACTTCTCTTTCTGCTTTTGCTCAAAATACAACATAACACAATCTTATTGGTCTCAGAATGAAATCAAAGCTGAATCAGAACCACCAGCTTAAAACATACTCTGTCTCTGCAACTTTCCATTCATTCTAGTGGCAAACAACATGAAGTTTCTGATTTTTCACTTTGGGTCTAAAACTGACCTTCCACAGAGTCAAAATCTTTGCTTTTTCGCCTGTTATAATGAAGTTCCACTAATACCATCTCTGTCCACTGCTTTTGCAAGTGAGGACATGGAGTGCTCCTGGTCCAGAAGACAGTGCAGGCTGGGCTTTGCCATGGTGGCCATAGTGGGCCAGCCAGGGCACCTGTCCAGGTGTGCACCTCACCAGTGGCCAATGATGTAACCCAGGGAGCAGACTCAAGGACCTGCCACAGGGTTCAGACAATACTCACAATGCAAACACCGCTGACCATGATTTCCAGAGCCAAATAAGAGGTCTCCTGCTCAGAGAAGTCTATGATATTGCCAACGCTGGCTGCACCAAAAGAAAATTGGTTTTCATGTCATATATTTAAGATTCCTTTATTATTTCTCTATTAGCCATTGAATGCAGGGCTTTAAAAAAAACAGGTATGCTTTTATAGCATTGAGAGAACAAATACACTGATACTTTTAGATGATCAGTTCCCTAACAAGGTAGACCCTGGCCCTATAGAGGATTTCTACATTACATCTCTCCTTCCTGGTTGGAAAGGCCAAGAAGAGTTAAGACCACACAAGACCTTCATTCTGAGGGTGCTTTGATGTCCAGATAGAAGAGAAGCATGTGTGACAGCCTCATGTCTGCGTCCTGGGGATGTCTGTATGTGATGCATTTATCACAACAACTTTGATCGATCACCTATCCTAAAATCTGAGCCACACCAGCACTGTGGTACAGCAGGTTAAGCCACCACTTGTGACAACGGTGTCCTATAGCCAAGTGCTGGTTCAAGTCCTGCCTGCTCTGCTTCCAATATAGCTTCCTGCTAATGCGCCTGGGAAGGCAACAGAAGGTGGTCTAAGTGCTTGTGTCCCTGACACCCACGTAGGAAACCAGGATGGAAGCCTGGCTCCTGGCTTCAGCCTACCCCAGACATGGCTATTGCAGCTGTTCAGGGATTAAACCAACAAAGGAAAGATAGATCTCTCCCTCTCCCTTTCTCTTTCTGTGGTGTTCTGCCTTTCAATAAATCTTAAAAAAAAAAAAAAAAAAAAACTCTGAGCACAGAAGAGAAAGACTAAAGAGGTTGCCTCTTGCTTTAAGCACATAAATACATCAAAACAGAGGACAAGCTTCCCTGAACCATGTGGTGCTGGGAGAGGACATCTCTGCTAACAAAAAGCAGGAGCTGGCATTGTGGCATAACAAGTAAAGCCTCCACCTGCAATGCCAGCATTCCATATGGGTGCAGGTTCATGTCCTGGCTGCTCCACTTCTAATCCAGCTCCCTGCTAATGGCCTGGGAAAAGCAGTGGAAGATGGCCCAAGTGTTTGGGCCCCTCCCACCCACACGGGAGACCCAGGTGAAGCTCCCAGCTCCTGGCTTCAGCCTGGCCCAGCCCTGGCTGTTGCAGCCATCTGTGGAATGAACCAGCAGGTGGAATATATCTCTCTCTCTCTCTTTCTCTCTCTCTCTCTCTCTTTCTCTCTCTCTCTTTCTCTCTCTCTCCCTCTCTCTCTCTGCCTCTCCCTCTCTGTAACTCCACCTTTCAAATAAATAAATAAATCTTTTAAAAATATCTAAAGCAAGCCCGGTGCCCCCTGACCATGCTAGTGTGCATGCGTGCAGTGAACTTGCATCTCACTGCTTTCTAAGAGGCTAAGAGGTTCCACGGCTGTGAGTAAAGAAGCACCACACAGCAAGTGGTTGCAACATTGGTCCAGCAACAGGAGCAGCTGCAGGGTGGAAAAAGCTTATAGGACAGAAGGACTGGTGCAGGGAGAACATGGGTGTGGGGTGTGTGTGTGTGTATGTGTGCATGCATGTGTGTGCACATGTATATGTGTATATATTGTGTACTGTTTCTTGGGTATGTATGTATGCATATGGCGTATACATTGTGTAGTGTGTACACATGCATCTATGTGTGTGTGCCTATGTGTAGTGTTTGTATAGAGTGTAATATATGCCATGAACATGTGTGTATCCATAGACATCCATGTATGTAGTGCATTGTCTACTATATTTGCTTATATGTGTATGTAAATATGCATGTATATAAGTGTGTACTGCATGGTGTGTTTACATTTATATGCAAATTAGCATGTAGCATATATTGCCTAGTGTGTATGTAGGCATGTGTGTGCCTGTGTATAATTCTGTGTACATGTGTGCATGTATTGTGTGTTATGTGCGTGCACTCGCATCTGTGTGTATGAGTATATATGTTGTATACATATATGTGTGGTGTATGCATGGGAGGCATGTGTGCATGTGTTGTTGTGGGACCCACGTGTCCACCCATGTGTACATTGTGTATTATATGTGTTGTGTGTACATGCACATGTGTGTGTGCAATGTGTTTTTGCATGTCCTCACTGAGTCACACTCACACCCACTCAGTCCCTGTGGCTGTCTTCCCTTCTCCCCTCCAGAAAAGCGGCTTTCCCGGGGGATTTCCCACGCCAGCTCAGCCATCGTCTCCTTGGCCCGGTCCCACGTGGCGAGCGAGTGCAACAACGAGCAGTTCCCCCTGGAGATGCCAATCTACACATTCCAGCTGCCGGACCTGAGCGTGTACAGCGAGGACTTCAGGAGCTTCATCGAGCGCGACTTGATCGAGCAGGCAACCATGGTGGCTTTGGAGCAGGCAGGTGAGTGCTGCCCGCAGGCTCACCGTGCTCAGGTGCCTGGGAGCAGTGCGCTGGCCTGACTCACTGGACAGGCAAAGAAGGGACACGCGCTCCCAGACCCTGGGCAGACTTCAGGCAGGGTTCCAGATGCTTCCCCCAAACCTCCTGCTCCCCAGGCAGCCTGCGCTCTCACTCAGCACCGGTTGAACGGAATGGAGGGAGGCCGATGAACAGGTGCCCACCCCACAGAGAGCTCTGTGCTGCTCGGCCTCGCTTCTCTCTCCCTTCCAACTCCTCCACGGGCTGCTAGCAAAGGATAAGAAAGACCGAGGCTGTAAAGGAATGTGGGAGACCCTTGTTCCTTCCTGTGGGCACAGGCAGGACTGCCCTGCACCTCTCTTTTCCCGTCTGCAAAGGTGAGATGACTGATGAGCACCTGCCAAACCCTTGCGAGTCCTAATGGCACGGCCTCACCTGGACCAGTTCCCTGCCTCCCAGCCTTGCTGGCCTCCAGGCTGAGAAAGCACAAAACCCAGCTTCAGTCTCCTCCCCTCCCCTTCCAGTTCCTTCCCTCCCCAGGGAGCAAGCCCACCTCCTCCTGGCAATGCAATGGTGGCCCCGTGAGATCATATTGCCCTGCTGTCTTCACAGCGTCTTCATGTGTATAAGTGTTCTCTGTGAGGTTTGCACGGCGACAAACTTGCCTAACGATGCGTTTCTCAGAATGTGTCCCTGTTGTTAAGCAATGTGTGATTGTACCTATTTTACTCAAATATTTGCATTATAAATACTGCAAGGCTGGGCAGACACACTTGTACAAGACTCCATGGCCTTCTTCTCATGCCCGTCATGCACCTGCCGGGGTGGGGAGGGGTCCCACCAGCAGTGTGGGCTCACAGCAGATGCGCAGTCCGTCCTCTGAGAACCACTGTGCTCGCTGGTGCCAGGGAACGGGGCTTCCCAGGACTCAGCCTGCAGCCAGCTCCTCCACCTGCTGGCCAGCGGAGCCTCTGCTCCACAGACCCGGCCTGGGGAGGTGCTGGCGGGGCTGAAGGGAAGCCTCTGGCTGAGCACCAACGGAGAGAAGATGCTGTTCAGACATCTGAACAGGTGCTTACCTCAGCTCTTGGCCAAGACCCAGTGCAGATTGCCAGATACTTTTGAGTGTTTCAGAAGAAGACAGAGAGGACAGCTCTGTTGGTTGGTCTGACCCTGACATTGGTGAGTGGACCACTGAAGGTCCTGGTAGGAGACAGGAGTGGCCAAAATGAGTGAGACGAGGGACTTGTGTAAAGGGGTGTCTGCTAGGGAATGGGAGGGTTTGAGGACACCAGTGGAGGGCAGTGCCACGCCTGGACCTAGCCCCTGCAGGGACAGTGCCAGCCTTGGTGCTGGCAGAGAGGCAAGGGAGGGAGAAGATGCCAGAGAAGGAAACCCTCTGACCACACCTTTCCTACCATCCAGTCCCTGTTGCTGGCAGAGGGCAGAGAGCTCGCTGGCATGGCCCAGGCAGCTCATTCTCTGGGTGCAGAGCAGCGCGGAGAAGCATAAAACACGGTTCTTTGGACAAATGGTAATCATCCAGAAAGTGGATGAGTCAGCGTATTGGCCTGAGCTGAGCTCTGGGTATTCATATGTGGTTTCATGCCATTGCTCTGAGGGCTTTCCCTATCTGCCTGCTCCAAGAAGGCAGGCACAGGAGCGTGTGATCAAACGAAGGGACAGTAATTAGCGGGGCCTTATCTGTGTTGGGCAGCCTTCGTGGTCAAGACTCAACCACAGGACCCAGGGCAGCCTCCCATCAGGGTGCTTGGTTTTAGAACAGGGTGCGTGTCCCCAGTGCCTGTGCTGGGTCTCATGTTGTTACCCCGGCTGCAGCACAGCCAGCCACGGAAAGCAAGCCAGTGACTGTCACCCGCAGCCAGCTCGCCTGGCTCACCTCAGTGCCATGGACTGAGTTGCAAACATGGAGCAGTGCCCCTGGATTAGCAGCAACCCAAACCACTCACTGTGGAGGCTGGCTGCTTCAAAGATGTGCCCCGGGACTGGTTCACATAGGGTATTTTAAATGAAAGATTCACCATTCATAGGGAAGGAGGAAATTAGTGTGGGTTAAGAAGGAAGTGAGTTTTGCTCGCTCTATTCGCTCTATGTTGAATGCAACATCAGCTCAGACCTGGGTGAAGTGCGACACCGATGACAACTAATCACACTGGGCCTTCTGATTCATTCATTTGAAGCCCTGATGAAGTTAAATGACATAGACCGACAGCTGTTCGTAAGTTTTAAATGCCTTTGATTGTAGTGTATTGTGATTGTTGTGCTATCTTAATATGAGTTATTATCATGAATCTCTTATTTGCCTAGTTTCTAAATGAAGTTTTACCATAGATCGGTGTGTGCAAGTGTAGGAGAAAGCAGTGTATGGGGCTCATACAGTCCAGTGTTGGGCACGTACTGGGCACACAGGAGACTACTGTGTCACATGTTAATGTCTAACACTAATGTCTTACCTTCCAGACTAGCATTGTAAAAAAAATATTATCTGACTTTACCCAGTCTCGGTAAACACATTTAAAAACCCAGACTTGCAAGTTAAGTTGTTAAATTCCCGAACAGTCAGTATTTATATGCAGTGGACAAAAAACAGGAGTCCAGGAGTCAGCGGTCTCCCACGCCCCTCACCCTGAGCCACAGCAAGGGTGTGCGGGCACATATGTGTTCAGTCCTCAGGTGAACATCTGGGCTGAGAGGGAACACAAGCCCGACCCCAGCACACCTGCTCCGACTCTCTGAGCCCTTTGTTCAACCTTCAGGCAGGGGCTTAGGCTAGATCGTCCCACTGGCTCTGAGATGTGCTCAGACCCTGTTGGAGACCCCCAGCTGAGGTTAGGCAGGCCTCCCAAAGCCCCCAACCCCATCTGGGCAAACAGCCTGGCTGCTGGGGAGTGGGGGCAGCTCCTTGCCTCGCACTCCTCAGGCCTCTGCCGTTGCAGTCTGTGGAGGGTTAGCAAGCTCTGCTGAAACCGGCGATCCATGGACACTGCTCAGGAACTCTGCGAGGACTGGAGTCCCCTTCCTGAAGTCCCTGTGCTTAGTGGTGTTAGGGATATGCTGGGGTTTCCTAAATATGTACTTATTTATTTGAAAGGCAATGTTACACAGAGAGAGGGAGATCTTTCATCCACTGTTTACTCCCCCAAATGTCTGCAACAGCCAGGGCTGAAGCCAAGAGCTTGGAACGCCATCCAGGTCTCCCTTGTGGGTGGCAGGGGCCCAAGCACAGGGGCGTCTTCTTCTGCTTCCCCAGGCACATTAGCAGGGAGCTGGATTGGAAGTGAAACAGCCAAGACTCAAACTGGCGCCTGCATGCTATGCCAGCGTCGCAGGTGGCGGCTTAACCAGCTGCGCCACAAAGCCAGCCCCTGAATAAACTGTTTATCCACAGTATTAAGCACCATGTATATGGGAGATTGAAATGTAGATGTCTAAAAACTTAGTAAAAACTCCACTTGTTTAACAGCAAATTAAATCAGCTGTGCTTTGCAATAAATATCATCTCTGTCACAGGGCTGTGGGTGAAGTCATCCTCTTCCCTTGGGACTGTACAGCAAGCCAGGGATCCTGTGGCCAGAAAATTGACAGAAGACGGCCTTCCCTCAGTTAGCGCTGCAGACTTAGGGCTTGGCTCTGCTCTCCGGGGGCCCTGAGAGCAGAGGTGTACACTGTCTGCCCAGCTTCCAGGGCACGGGAGCAGCCCACCGATCTGTAAGGTCTCTAAGTCAAGCCACTGCCAACCGTGAACTCCTGTAGAACCCACAGATAGGGGAGACCAGTTCTCCCCAAGCCTTTCAACCCTGCAGGGATATCTCTATTCCTATCTCTAACCCTGGCAATCTCAGGGTCAACAGAAAGGCCCCATCCTCAGGACCTCCTGAGAGAGGAAGGAAAACACCTCTACCCCTTAGTGGCCACTCTGTCACTGGGGATCCATTAGCCTCTCTGTCAAGTGTCCCTGCTGCCCCTGCAGGTGAGGAGGCCCAGGGACCAGGGTCTCGAGGTCTGGGATGCAGGCCGTTGTGTTTGGTTGAGACAGCATGCTCAATGTGGTCACAGCCAAATGTGTACTCCAGTAATACTGCATAGACTGGAGACTGAAATGTAGATGCCAAGAAATACTCAGGGACTCCTTAGAGTTCCAGTGTTGAGTCTGCGTCCATGGGAGATGATTGGATGGCAGCAAATCTGCCAGGAATGCAGAGATGGGGAGGAGGCTCGCAAGCTTCAGAGTTGGCCTGACCCTGGCTCGAGACCTGGATTGGTGGGGAGAGCCTGGCCACGTAGGCTGTCCTGCTCCAGGCTCGCTGCCTGGGGTAAAGGCTGCCAAGCCACACACACACCTGTGCAGTGCTCCCCCCAATGCCCCATCCAGGTCTCTTCTCCAAAAAGAAAACACGCACTTCCACTCTTGTGGAGATCCAATTCCAGTGGAGAAGAGAGACGGTAACAAGTAGGTCACAAACACGAAGGCCGGCAGTGAAGGCTGCTGCGAGAAGCCAGGTCGGGGTGCAGGGAGTTGGGGATCGGGGGAAGCGGCAGCTGAGACACAGGCGTTCCTGGCACCGGGAGTGTGGCATGGCACCCTGCTTGGCATAATTGAGGAAAACCAGTGTTGCGCAAGCAGCTGAAGTGAGGGCTGCAGGATCAGGAAAGGTAGGCAGGGCAGTAGCCAAGAGGGTAGGCAGGAAAGGCAGCCGGGGCCTGGCCTTGGGCAGATGTGCAGCCCTCAGAGGTGGTGGCATGCTTTGATGCCCTTCGGATGAGGCTGGCTGCTGTGTCAAGAATGGACTATGGGGCAGCGCTATGGAGTAATGGGTAAAGCCACTGCCTGCAGTACCGGCATCCCATTTGGGCACCAGATCGAGTCCCAGTTGCTCCAGTTGTGATCCAGCTCTCTGCTATGGCCTCAAAAGCAGTAGGAGATGGCCCAATCCTTGGGCCCCTGCACCGGCATGGGAGAC